ACTCGATATTTTTTCCATTGATTTTTTTTTTTTAAAGAGTGGAGGGGAGGGAAGCGGGGGCATGGGCCTGACTGGGGCCGGGGATCGAGCCTCCAATGGAGGTACATGTCCTTGAGTAGAATTGAATTTGCAACTCTTCGGTCCCTGGCACATGCTCTAACCACTGAAGAACCCAGCAGGGCCAGAATAAATTTTTAACAAAATTAATGTGGCCAATGTAGATTTCTGAGGATAATACTCAAATCCTGGATGGCAGCTCAGAGACAGAGGCCTAAGGAATGTTTAAGAATTCTTAAAAATTTTTTGGAGGGGGAAATCATAAATTTTGCTTGGAAACTTATGGGTACTCTCCCTCACCAAAACACAGGGGCAAAATTTTACCTGAATATCAAGAAATTTGCAGAATACTAAAATCCACCAATGGATCTCAGGTTATCAGCCCCTGATCTAAAAGGGTGTAGAACTGAGACACAGAAGACAGGGACTTAATGAGTCATGTGGTTTTCTTGCATCATTTGTCCCACGTGAATGCATACTTTTCTAGTAACTCAATAGGAAACCACTGAAACAATCCTCCCATATTAAATAGGCCTTGCAAGTCTTACTTGGAAGGAAGGGAAAAAATCCATATTAAAAAATATATTATTTTATACACACACAGTATTACATTATTACTGTTATTACTTCCACACACATTATTACTGTTATTACAAGCAAGTAACAAAGCTTCTGACATTTCACTGCTGCATCATCAGCTTTTAGAACAGAACCTATACCACATATTAGGTATTCAATTACTATTGGACAAATAGATAAATTAGCATACAGTAAGTCCTCACTTAACATCACTGATAGGTTCCTTAACTTTAAGTAAAACAATGTAAACAAGACGAATTTTACCACAGGCTAAATCAGTGATTCCCAAAGTGGGCGCTACCAACCCCTGGTGGGCGCTGCAGCGATACAGGGGGGCGGTGATGGCCACAGGTGCATTTGTTTTAACTTTTTTTGTATTACCTTTCTATTCTGAGTTCAATAAATAGTTTCATAATTTCAAACTTCAATGTTTCTAATTTACACCTTTCTTTACTATATTTTACGAAAAAGGTAGAAACATTAATACATATATCTTTCTGTTTAATTGCTATTAAAATTAAAAAAAAATAATTTCCAGGGGGCGCTGAGTAATATTTTTTTCTGGAAAGGGGGCGGTAGGCCAAATAAGTTTGGGAACCACTGGGCTAAATGATATAAACAAGAGTTAAGTTCCTATGGCAACTCATCAATGTTATAACAAAATGATGTTGAGAATCTGCTGTACTTTTATTTGAAAACACATCTAGATATAATAACATCTAAATTAATTTTAACGGGCAATTTTATTCAAAAGGAATTTAATTACATATCCCATCAATATGAAAGCAAATGACAAAGATTCTGAATATAGTGTTTGGTTTTAGAATTAATAAATTCTTTATTCACATTGATGGAGATAAATTAAACAGATCTTAAAAAAATCCTGGAGCCCTAGCTGGTTTGGCTCAGTGGATAGAGCGTCAGCCTATGGACTGAAGGGTCCCGGGTTCGATTACGGTCAAGGGCACATGTCCGGGTTGCAGGCTCCATCCCCAGTAGGGGGCGTGCAGGAGGCAGCCAATCAATGATACTCTCTCATCATTGATGTTTCTATCTCTTTCTCCCTCTCCCTTCCTCTCTGAAATCAATAAAAATATATTTTAAAAAAAATTCCTGGAAATTGCCTGGCTGGCATGGCTCGGTATTTGGGTGTCAACTTATAAACATATAAAATAAAAGCCGTATGGACTTATTTTGTTACTTTGGTTGGAGTTCGGTCATGGCACATGCCTGGGTTGTGAGCTTGATCCTCAGTGTGGGGCATACAGGAGGCAGCCAATCAATGATTCTCTCTCAACATTGACGTTTCTATCTATCTCCCTATCCCTTCCTCTCTGAAATCAATAGCTCTGCTGTTTCTTTCCTTAGACAAAAGAAATAAACCAAGTTCAGCCTTTTCTATATACCAAGTAAAATCTGAGTCCTAGGCATTCTTTGTTGCTCCTGGTAAAACAATGTATATATAATAAGACGAATTCTACCACAAGGCTAAATGATATAAACAAATACTAAGTTCCTATGGCACCTCATCAATGTTATAATAAAATGATGCTGAGAATCTGCTGTACTTTTATTTGAAAACACATCTAGATATAATAACATCTAAATTAATTTTAACGGGCAATTATTGGACAGCCAGAAAGAAAAACTGGAAAATGAACAATCAACCTCAATTCCTCCTAATACAAAATGTGTTATCATTTCAATGATGAACTATGTAGGGACATACGTTAAGAACCACCTCTCAGAAATTTCTGGGTCACAATAACAAAATAAGAACACCAAGAACCATCAGAGAAGAATAAAAACTTCTTAAACTGTAAGTCAACAAGAACATTTAAGATAATTTATATCTGATTTACATGTCATTTTCAAAACATACCTATTGGATTGAATAAAATACAATGTATATTTTAGGAAATTATGTTCAGGAATTGTGGATGTGCCAGTTAACCACTTTCTTATTGCTCCAGTAAAACACAATGATGCCAGATCCTAGCAACAGCTGAGAGAATCATTCTGGTTCTTCTAAGTCACCACAGGGGACAGGAAAAAAAATTTGATCTACCTAAATAAGTTAGATAAGATCTCTTATGAAGACAAAGAAAGGACTAAGCATATCACCAAAATATATTTTTAGGAAATTACTGGGTTTTGGAGAACTTACAAAGTTATAGTAACTACTTACTAGGTAGATCATTTATTCTTAATATTACAAATACCATTTCACAGAGCTTTCCAGATAAAGGGCCAGATAATACTGGTTTTACTCTAATGATCTTGTTACTTAATAACATGAGGAGAAATGACATCTCACAGGTATAGCAGAGACTGCAATGTCCTATCCCAACACATATTCTCTCCTTGCTTTTTAGTAACCCCAATTTTACTTGGTTGAGATATATGCCCAGCTAAAGGATTACATTTCCAAGATGCCCTCATAGCTAGATGTAACCATGTGACTAAATTCTGGCCAATAGGATGTAAGAGGAAATAATGTGTGAGACTTCTAGGAAGGTTAAGGCTTTCTTCCTTTAATTTTTCCTATTGCCTGGAATATGGATGTAAAGGCTACAGCGTTAGCAGTGATATTTAACCATGAGATATCTAAGCTTTTGCTTAAAAAGTGAGCATGCACAAGGAATCCAGTGTCATGACATTGAGGAATAGTGTATCAGTCTCAGACCCACCTCCCTCTGACCTTCTTTAAATGAGACAATAAATCACAATTTATGATTCCCAACCTTTGCTGAACACTGGAATCCTAGTGAGCTTTTAAAAATCTGGATACTGATGTAGCAACCCATACTAAATAAATCAGAATACCTGGGGACTGGAATTAGGTATCAATACATATTAAAGACACTCAGGTGATTCCAATGTGCAGCAAAGTTTGGGCATGAATCCTTAGTTCTAAAAGCTGATTCTAAATCTAACAATATTGCATCAGTAACAGTTAGAAAAAGGAGAACAAAAATTAGAAAAACTAAATAATTTTATGGCAACATTCGATTAAGTATTAGTTTAAGTGAAAACCTGCAAATGGAAAGGCATATTTAAATATTACTATGTGGTAAATTATTACTGAAGTACAAAGATAAAGAGTATATTTATTGAGCACTGCTCATATTTTTAAGCTTTATCTCATTTAATTCTCACCTCAACCCTATGAGGCAGTATCATGCATATTTTACAGTGGAATAAATAGAGGCTCTGAGAAAACAAATACCTTACTCAGGGTCTCACATCAAGTAACTGGCAGAGCCAAGATACTAGTTCCTGTTTGTGCAAATTGAAGGGTTGTGCATTTTCTATTACACTGTAACTCAAAAAGAAAAGAGACTAAGAGGTCTCTAGAGTTATATATTTTCTTGAGGAAATATTAGTTTCATGAAAGAATTTGAAAATGAATTTAAAATATTAATAAGGATAAAACATCCCTATTCAATCTGTAAACATTTCATAAATCTTGTGAACCAGAAGATCAACATACTAAACCCATATTCATAATAGCACTATTCATAATAGCCGGGAGACAGAAGCGATCCATATGTCCATCGAGAGATGAATGGATAAACAAATTTGGTATATATGACAATGAAATATCACTCAGCTTAAAAAAGGAAGGCAATCCTGTCACACACTTCAACATGGATGAACTCCTAAGACATTATGCTAAGCCAGTCACAAAAAGACAAAATTATTCCATTTATATGAAGTATCTAACGCGGTTAGATTAATAGAAATAGGAAGCAGAATAGAAATAGGAAGCAGAATAGTGGTTACTAGGGGCTGAGAAGTTGGGAGCAAGGGGAGAGGGAAAGGGAGTTTTTTAATGGGTCTAGAGTAGCGGTTCTCAACCTGTGGGTCGCGACCCCTTGGGGGTCGAACGACCCTTTCACAGTGGTCGCCTAAGACCATCCTGCATATCAGATATTTACATTACGATTCATAACAGTAGCAACATTACAGTTATGAAGTAGCAATGAAAATAATTATGGTTGGGTCACAACATGAGGAACTGTATTTAAAGGGCCAGAAGGTTGAGAACCACTGGTCTAGAGTTTCAGATTTGCAAGATGAAAAAGTTCTGGAGATGTGTTTCATGACAATGTGAATATAGTTAACACTACTGAACTGTACACTTAAAAATGAAGATAGGAAATTGTTTTTTTTAATCACAATAAAAACATTTTAAGTTAATATTTACTGAATTATCCATAACTCAATATGGGAATTATTAAGTATACATAAACAGTTTAATACCACTAAAAAATCCATTACAGTAATGCCTAAGAGCTCCTGAATAAGTATTTTAGATTCTACAAAAAGTAAGACTGTCAACAATTCAGAATCCTCCTTACCTGGGCTTGTCTCTTTTTTCTCTTTGTCTTTCAAAATCCCGTCCTCTGTCCTTTCCATCTCTTGGTTTTTCTTCTATCCTATCTTTTACTTTATACTTTTCTTTATATTTTTTTCCCAGAGCAATATCTTCCTGTAAAGGAGGGGGTGGACTAGGAGTGCGAGGTCCTTTCTTTTTACTTTGGTTGGTTTTTGAGTTCCTGAAGATAACACAAAGTTATCATTAGAGATCCAAATACTTTTGGAAGGTCTAACGGATTTTTTTTTCATTTTAACAAAGCACATTTTAAAAATGGTGGCATTCCTTTCAATAAATTGCCTTTGAATATTTTTTATACTGGTAATCAATATCTAGAAAAAAACCCAGAAATGAGCAAAGAAATAATTTACTTGTTATTTATATCATTAATAATACTTATTAAATAATTTACAGGGTAGGTGTCTAAGACAGAGGTAGAGTAGGAAGAGATTCAGGAAAAGATAAAATGTGCATGAACTGGAGGTTGTTTTTTTAAGCTTATATAGAAAAGTAGATGAAGAAAGTAAAAATCACCTATAGTTCTATCACCCAAGGATAATCATTGTTAAAACCTTGGATATATGTTCACACTAATCCATGTCTCTTTACCTCCCTCCCCTGCCACACACAACCCTACTTTTTGTACTAAATTTGTATATTTAGTACAAAAAGTTTTTTTTTGTACTAAATATAACATGGGTATCTTTCTATAACAAAATGTAGATTTAGATAATTATTATTATTTTTTAAAATATATTTTATTGATTTTTTACAGAGAGGAAGGGAGAGGGATAGAGATTAGAAACATCGATGAGAGAGAAACATCGACCAGCTGCCTCCTGCACACCTCCTACTGGGGATGTGCCCACAACCAAGGTACATGCCCTTGACCGGAATCAAACCTGGGACCTTTCAGTCCGCAGGCCGACGCTCTATCACTGAGCCAAACCGGTTTGGCGATTTAGATAATTATTATTATAGATTGTACAGAACCTCCTTGTATACATATATTTTATAACTTCTTTTAAAAATTACATGTTGATAGCTTTTAAATGGCTTCTATGTTTTTATCATTACAAAGAACACAGAATTACATAAACTACAAATGAAATCTTAAGCACTGTTAGTAAACATTTAAATCTTTGAGTCTTATTTTAAAAAATCTTTCTACAACATTTAAATTATAAAGATAGTCCTCTAAAATTCTGGAATTTTGTCTCTCATATTTAATCTACCTAGAATTAATTTGGGGATATAGTTTATCATCTTTCATTTGTCACTTTAAGTAATTTTATCCAAGTGGTATAACTTTGAGCCTTTATATACCCCAAATTATCTGTCTTTATGTTATACTTGAACAACAATTTGACTGAATGCAGCATTTTGGTGTCACTATTCTTTTCCCTCAGAACTCTTATAAATACTTTCACAATATCTTCTAGTGTTTAGTAATGTAGATAAAAAGTCCAAAGAGAGTGCTTTTTTTTTTTTTTTTTCTATGAAGTTTACTTGGTTTTTCTGCTGGGATGTATATATTATTCCTTAGACATTAAAAATTTCCCCAAAATGCCATGGCTGGTGTGGCTAAGCTGGTTGGAGCAACATCCCATATGCCTAAAGGTGGTGGGTATGATTCCAGGTCAGGGCACATACCCATGTTGCGGGTTCAATCCCTGGTTGGGGAGTACGTGGGAGGCAACCAATCTATGTTTCTCACATCGATGTCTCTCTCTAAAAACAAAAAATATTTTTTTAAATTCTCAAGATAAATTTTCTTTTTTCAAAAGCTTTTTCCAGTACTCAGTGAGCTATTTTCATCTGAAACCTCGTCTTCAAATCAATTTCTTCTACTTTATTTCATCAGTTTGCTATATGACTCAAGTATCTCTGGTTTTTTATTATAATCTCCTGGAACTCTCTTCCATTTCTTATTTTTCTGTTATTTCCATCTCTCCTCTGCTTTCCTATAATCTAAATATGTTCTCAAATTTGGTAATTTTTCTTTTAAGCCACACTCATTCTCCTAATTCTAAACTTGGCAATCTCATGATTGCGCTATTTTCAGTTTAAAAATTGTTTTTCTTCCAAAATATATTTGTTCAGATTGTTCATATTTTCATCAAATGCTCTTACATGTCAATGCAATATCCTCTCAAACTGTACTAAAATTATAAATAATTATTTAAATTTGTTCCCATTTACTGTAACGAGTGTTCAGTCTGGTACTGAGTTTTTAATTAGCCTTTTCTTTTCATACATCTGGCAAGTTTTCACTAGCTACTCATTTCACTATCTAATGATTTTTATAAATGACGACCTGAGCCTGAATCCTAGAACTTACTTCCTGTGACCTTGAGTTCTCTAATCCAAAGATTCCTTAGCTATAAAAAGATAATGTACAGTAACTTCCTCAAAATGTTGATAAAATTTTAAAAAGATAACACTATAAAAGCAATTGACTTATGGTGACCATTCAGAAAATTTAGTTCTCTTACTCCTTTATCCCTAATTCTTATTATCATAGATAGGGCTAACCACCTAGCAAGTCAGAAATAACCAAATCTCTTTTTCAAATTTGTCTTCTGCCAAGAACCAGGTGACTAAAATATTTTATGTATTTAACAGATCAGTGATAAATGTCTGCATTTCTAAATATTTCCCCTTTTAAAAAACAAAAAGTAGCCCGAACCAGTTTGGCTCAGTGGATAGAGCATCGGCCTGCGGACTCAAGGGTCCTGGGTTCGATTCCGGTCAAGGGCATGTACCTTGGTTGCAGGCACATCCCCAGTGGGGAGTGTGCAGGAGGCGGCTGATCGATGTTTCTCTCTCATTGATATTTCTAGCTCTCTATTCCTCTCCCTTCCTCTCTGTAAAAAATCAATAAAATACATTAAAAAAAAAAGTATTTTGAAGATAAAATACAGGAATTCTTATCACAAACTGTATTTTAACATTACTAAACTTCCGTCCTGGGCACAATGTTTAATCACACTGTACAGACTTTTTTGAAATCAGGTATGGCCATATGACCAACTTCTGGCCAAAAGAATGTAAGCGGAAGTGATGTATACTATTTCCTGGCCTAACTAATGGAAGAATCTCATGCTCCAGTCAGTAGGAAACTATATAGTTAAATAAATGTAATAATCCAATTAATTTTTTCTTTACACATTCCATTTTTTGGTGTCCTCAAAAAGCTAACAAAGTGGAGTCACAATCAGAAAGAGCCTAGGTTACTGAATCTCCATGCATAGGAGAGCCACCTGTTAATCAGAAATACCCACTTTTACTTCACTTGAGTGAGAAATAAACTTCTGTGTGTTAAACTCACATTTTGAGATTAAATTATTATAACAACTAGGCCCTGGCTGGTGTTTGTCGGTGGTTAGAACATTGGCTTGTGCACCGAAGGGTCTCAGGTTTGATTCCTGGTCAAGGGCACATAACTGGGTTGCAGGTCCGATCCCGAGCCCCAATTGGGGTGTGTACAGGAGGCAACCAACCTATGTGTCTCACACAGATGTTTCTCTCTCCCTACCCCTCCTCTTCTCTTCCTTCTACTCTCTCTCTAAAAAAAAAGGACAAAAAAATCAAAATATCCTCGGGTGAGGATTAGTAACAAAACACACACACAAACAAACAAACAAACACACACCTATTAAAGCAACCAGGATTATGCCAATATACTCACTAAAGTACAGAATTTCTTCACATTACTATAAAAAGTGTATGTGGTTGGAAAATATGCTTATGTTATAGGTATAGGGTTTTCAAGTGCCTTCCAATTGAATGGGCTAAATTGGTTTTGAATGTTTTGAAGTAAAGAAGATCTTTCAACATTTTTAAAGTCAATTGATTATTCTTTAGTGGCACAGAGCCCACTTCCTATTTGTGGCATACAGCTCAATTAAATACTTCTATCATTTTTAGATCCTTTTTCTCTCTCTCTCTTTCCAAAACTACTTCTTTTAAAGAGCATTTGACATACTTCATATATCTTTGTACAAAGAGCTATAAAAGGAATTACTTAATAAAAACTAAGAAAAAATGTAGATCAAGCATGTCAAACTCAAAGGCTAGCACAGGCCAAATAAACAAGGTTTAAGTTTATGTGAGCCGCAAAAAACCCAAAGCTTCAATTTTCACAGAAAGAATAGGTTTTTTCAATAGAGATATGGTGAATACAAAGGGCTGAAATAAATGAGTAATCATTAACATAAAATAATAGAACATTTTAATAAAAATTAATAATTTTCTTGAACATTAACTTACCAGACACTGAATAACTAACTGCACAAATTAATAAGCGTAACGGAAATAAACCTATTTTTTTTTGTTCTCTGAAAGTGAAATATTTTCTGTTGCGCACACCAAATGTCAGTCCAAGATTAATGACGTGGCAATCGGCTGCTAAAATATTTGCTGCTATGTTAGTGGAGAGAAATGGTAGGCCTCCATGTAAGGGAAATCCAACATGATTATAGTAATCAGTCATTAGCCCTAACCGGTTTGGCTCAGTGGATAGAGCATCGGCCTGTGGACTAAAAGGTCCCAGGTTTGATTCCGGTCAAGGGCATGTACCTTGGTTGTGGGCACATTCCCAGTAGGAGGTGTGCAGGAGGCAGCTGATCAGTGTTTCTCTCTCATCGATGTTTCTAACTATCTCTCTCCCTTCCTCTCTGTAAAAAATCAATAAAATATATTTTAAAAAAATAATCAGTCATTAGCGAACGTTATAGTTCGTTATTAATAATTATGTATAACAGGATATTGTAAAAATTAAGTTATTAAATTTTTATTAAAACATTTCTTACATACCATTATTATGGCTGGGCCACAAAAATATTCATTGTGAGCCACATGTGGCCCACGGGCTGTGAGTTTGACATGCTTGATATAGATGGCAAAAACAGATAATGCATTTGCTGATTCTAAGCCACTCTATATCTCACATATCAACATGAAGTTTACTATCAGGCTATATCTCACAATGAAAGTAAAGAAGCCCTAACCGGTTTGGCTCAGTGGATAGAGTGTCGGCCTTTGGACTGAAGGGTCCCGGGTTCGATTCCCGTCAAGGGCATGTACCTTGGTTGCAGGCACATCCCTAGTAGGGGGTGTGCAGGAGGCAGCTGATCGATGTTTCTCTCACCAATGTTTCCAACTCTCTATCCCTCTCCCTTCCTCTCTGTAAAAAATCAATAAAACATATTAAAAAAAAAAAAAAAGTAAGTAAAAGAAAACTGCCAGCCCTGACTGGTTTGGCTCAGTGGATAGAGCGTCGGCCTGCAGACTGAAAGGTCCCAGGTTCGATTCTAGTCAAGGGCATGTACCTTGGTTGCGGGCACATCCCCAGTAGGAGGGTGTGCAGGAGGCAGCTGATCGATGTTTCTCTCTCATCGATGTTTCTAACTCTCTATCCCTCTCCCTTCCTCTCTGTAAAAAATCAATAAAAATTAAAAAAAAAAAGAAAGAAAACTGCAAGCTCTCGGGGAGAATGGTCAGTTTTAATTTGTAATGATCTCTGCCTCCCCAATTTGATAACCATGTAAAACTAAGACCCAGGAGTTTGTTTACCAGATTGTCACCTCAGTTGACTTATTGGCATTGGTTGCAACATTCCACTGAATTTTTAACTGAAATTCTAATCCTTACTTGATGCTTAGTAAGTCTTCAAACAGTTTATAGTATGATCAAGAAATGAAACTGAAAGTTGAGCTGACACACTCTAGGTAAGGTAAACTGCATAGCTAAAGAAATGGTATGTGCAATGCAATGTTTTCTTTGAACCTATAATGTACTGCTTTCCAGATCCTTCTGCTTCTATTATTAAATTAATGGTGCATCTTAGAGTCAATACCATTGTAGAATACAGGAAATATCATAGTTAAATCAATAAGTAATTATTCATACTAAATACTCATCACAAGATAAGTGACCTACTAAAAAGCAGTAAGAGAAGACTACATGAAAAAGAATAGGATAAAACTAACCGCTCATCTAAATAGTTATGATTTCTATGAATAGATTAAATTTCAAAGATTCTATTTTCTCGCATCAAAGATTTTATAAAAAGAAAAAAAAAGAATATTTCTGGTATGCTGTTTTTTTTTGGGGGGGGGGGGAGGAAATGAATGGAATTGAGAAAAAGTTAATAATTGGTTAGCCAAGTGGATATACAGCAAGTAGGAGTAAATCACATCACTCTATGTTTAACCTCTCCCATATCCCTTGCCATATTTACTCAATCCCAGGAGCAAAGGAAAGGATCAAGTCAACTCTACAAAGTGCCTTATTAAAATGCAAAACTCTATGCAAACTAGGTGCTTTGAGAAGCTAGAACAATGAACCATCAAGATCCCAATCTAGCCTGGCCAGTGTGGCTCAGTGGTTGAGCACTGACCATGAACCTGGAGGTCAGGGCACATGCCTGAGTTGCAGGCTCGGTCTCCAGTAGGGGGCATACAGGAGGCAGCCAATCAGTGTTTCTCTTTCACACTGATGTTTCTCCCTCTCCCTCTCTCTCTCTCCAAAATCAATAAAAATATATTTTTAAAAAAATCCCAATCTACAAGGCGCTTAAATTTAATAGAAGTTGTAAAACATGTATGCCACAGCTACAATATAATACAAACAATAATTAATATTAAGAGGGGGATATAAGTAAAATTTAATAAACACAAAGGGAATACAAATTATGTTCAGTAAGGAAAAATGGGAAAACTTAGCAGAAAGATAAAAATTGGGTTAGACATCGAAGGATTAAAGATGGAAGACTGTAGATAGATGTTTGGATAAAAATATGGCAATACTGAAATATCAAAGTAAAATGTTATTTTAAAAAACCTGAATTTCACTAAAGAGAATGGAAACCACTGAGTTTTTCAATGGTATAATAAACTAATTGGAATTGTTCTCAAGATTTCTCTTACAACATTTGTAAAATAAATGGGTTGGGGTATGTGATTCTTTATATGTGTGGGGAGAATAGATACTAGATAAAGTTGATATAATTAGAAAGATGATATAATAATCTAGGCAAAAAGTAACTAGAATCTAAAATAGGGTTAGAGCCTCTAGAAACTAAAAGGAAGGAGTAAAATATGAGTTTCATTATGGGTTCAGATAGAGAGGGTTTCCAACTGGTCAAAAGTTGGGAAGAGATTTTTATTTAGTGTTTTCCTTAAACAAAATCAGTGTATGTACTTTAATTAAAATTTAAATAGTACAGCATGTCTTATGCCTTATTCTCAGTCCTGAAATGTAATAATATTCAATCATTTCTCTTTTTATTTCTTCAACTGGCTACTACAATAAAACTAATAATTCCTGCTACATATATACTGTAAAGAATTTAATCTCTTGATCATGTACCCAAGAAGACAAAAATTAAGTTCATTATGTATCATTTCTAATAGCTAAAAACTAGAAACAACTTAAATGTTCAACAAGGTAGATTAATATATAGTATAAATACTAAAAAAACCTAAAGCTACATATGTCAATACATATAAATGTAAAAAAAATGTTAAGTGAAAAAGTTATGTATCTGTATTAACATTAAACTGATGAAAATACTATATATTGCAAAATAATACATACTATAAAAGTACAAAGACATACACAAGTATCATAAAAACAAAATTCAAGAGAGGAAAAACAGGAAATGTGTCTGTTATATTTCATTTCTTAAAAATTAAAAGTTCTGAAGCATATGTAGATGTGACAGACATTTGTTTTATTGTTCTCTATTAACTTTTTTGAATTGAAACATTTTACACTTGTTTAAAAGAAAAAAGCTTACATTAAATACTGAACTTTTGTAAAAGTACCCTTCTGTAATCTACTAATTCCTTAGAGTATAATTTCAGAAAAAGCTATTTCTTTCCAGCACTATTTATCACCCTACTAACCTTTGTTGGTCCAACAAGGGAGAGGAAACTGCAGTTGTCTTCCTGTCCTTCTTGCTAGTTGAAGATGACGACTTAGGGCTTGATTTTCGCTTTGGAGATTTGCTAGACTTTCTTAGAGAAGGTGATGGAGATAACTTTGATCTAACCACTTCTGGTGAAACCTTTCAAAAAATTCAGTAAGTCAATTCAGAAACTCCTCCAGTCATGGTAATAATAATCAGGCAGTAAAGCATGGATTTTTAAACCATGCCAAAATTTAGATGAAATATTGTTATTATAATAGCCATGTATTGATAGTAGTCAGACTCATGAAACTGTGCTTTTATTTTTATTTTTTTAGATCATTTTTTTTCTTTATTGATTAAGGTAGTACAAATGTGTCCTTATCCCCCCATTGTCCCCACACACCCCCAGTCCTGCCCTCACCCTCAACCCCTGTTGTCTGCGTCCATTACTTATGCTTATATGCATGCATACAAGTCCTTTGGTTGATCTCTCCCTCTTACCCCCACCCTCCCCTACCTTCCCTCTGAGGTTTGAGCATCTGATCGATGTTTCTCTGTCTCTAGATCTGTTTTTGTTCATCGGTTTATGTTGTTCATTATAATCCACAAATGAGTGAGATCATGTGATATTAACACAAAATGCTAATTAACTCCCCTAAATAACATTAATACCAATAAAACAAAATGAAGTTATGAAATTTCAAAATCTCCTAAAAAAAATCACAAATTATATTCAAATAAATTGTCTCTACTCTTTAGTAATGAAGCAATTATTCTAGAAACTAGTGGCCTGGTGCATGAAATTTGTGTACATTAAAAAAAAAAGAATTAATTAGGGCAGCGGTTCTCAACCTGTGGGTCGCGACCCCTTTGGGGGTCGAACGACCCTTTCACAGGGGTCGCCTAAGACCATCGGAAAACACATATATAATTACATATTGTTTTTGTGATTAATCACTATGCTTTATGTTCAATTTGTAACAATGATAATACATCCTGCATATCAGATATTTACATTACGATTCATAACAGTAGCAAAATTACAGTTATGAAGTAGCAACGAAAATAATTTTATGGTTGGGGGTCACCACAACATGAGGAACTGTATTAAAGGGTCGCGGCATTAGGAAGGTTGAGAACCAATGAATTAGAGGAAATATTTTAATATTGCTATTTGCCCTTTCTCTATAATAGAAGTGTCAGAAATAAAAGAAAATTAGTAAAATGTATATGAAAATCTCCCTCTGACCCCAGGACACAGAGTCAAGTCCCTGCCCACCCGCGTGGGCCTCGAAATCACGCGAGTCCCAGACCCGGCTGGCCCCACCCCCGTCAAGCCCCACAGGGCAGGGGGCGCAGCCTCAGGTCCCCTGGTACTACCTCGGGTCCCCTGGCCCTGGCGTGAGGGCGCGAGGACCATTTGTATATTAGCTCTTTATTATATAGGATAGCATGGGCCTAAACAACAGACATATATATATTCAAATCCCATTTTATATTAGCTGGTGACTCTGGGCAACAGAACTTCAGTTTTGTTCACCTGTTTATTATCTATTTATCTAATAGAGTGATGTGAAGATTAAATGATTAACACATATGAAGTGACTGATATAGAGCAAGTTGACCAATATGTGTATCAATAGCCCCATACAATTTAAGATGTGCCAAGAGCTAATGAGTTCTCTGATCAATATCCATGTTGATGTTAATCGACTAACATATATTTCAATAAATAGCATACCTCCTTTTTAATAATAATTTCTTCTCTCTTCTCCATGTTTTCTTGCTCTAGCTTCATTAATTCCCTCTGTATCTTCTGACGCTTCATTTCCAATGACAACTCATGAACGTAATCATAATTAATATCTCCATTGTCAGAATCTTTAAACAAAAAATCTCATTACTTTTCAGAAACTATAATAATCTCTATAAAAAACTAGAGAATCTTTTCAAATAATTTTTATACAAAATAGTAGAGCCTTTATTAGATTAACATACTTCTAAAAGATAAAAGAAATATACACGTTTCTATAAAGGATTAAAATCAATATGCCTGATTTATGAAAAGCCAAATATTTTTAAGGTTCCTGGATTTGCTGGAAGTAATTTTGGGTTGTTGGGAGTTGGAGTTTTGATTAAGAGATGGGATTTTTAAAAGATAAAATAAAGCACTCAATTATAAATTCCAAGCATTAAACATACCAAAGCCTTCAATATTACATGCTGCATATAAAATGAATCATTACCTCCTTAATTTTCTTAGACACATTAGTACTATAAAAAGGTTACATTAGGTGGGCAACACTGCTTCCATAGTTTTTTGTTGTTGTTTTTTATCAGTGGCACAATTGATTTATAACTAAATACAGTTAACTATTTTTAATACTAATGTGTACATGAGCTAATTTCTGAAGGATCTATAATATTTTCATTAAAAGTGATTTGAACTAGTTCCTTAGATTAGAACTGTACATCTCCTCAGTGGATCTGATACTATGTCTCTATTTCTATTCATCTCTTCCAATGGAGGGTGGTGGCGAGGAAGAAACTTGGTTAAGGAAAAGAAAAGTAAGAGTGGTGTGCAGAGCTATTTCATTATAATACATACATGTTTTCAAAGGCTATTGGCACTGCCACCCAACATCTCATTCTCATTTGCTACAAATGCCAAGAAGCCTGGAGATGGGAATTTTACTGACTTCTAACCTAACACATGACTAATTAGGCTTGATGGATTACAAACTAAGGTACCTTCTCAAACTATACTGTCAGCACTTAAGGTCACCATTTCTTAACCTGGAGTAAAGAAATAAAATGAACTAAAAAACAAAGATAAACTAGTTCTACTTGATTGCTTAAAGCACAAGAAAATGGACATCATTGTCATGTACAGATAAAATACATTAGAATGTCACCTATCCACTCATGCATGGGGACTGAGGGTAGCTTTTATATCTGTTATCTGTGTGATTAAACTTAATTATTCATGTTATATTGGAATATGACAACTTCTCAGTAAATATATAAACTAGACTAAAGCATGTTTGTCAGTCACAAAGCAATCATTAAGAGGCATATAAAATTTACTAGGTAAAATAATTAGAGATGGTGTATTAAATTAAAAATGGTTCTATCTAGTTACTATTTTATATCCCATTGACATAGATCAGTAAATAATAGGGCTGAAAGATATGGTTTGATTGTATTCTTTTTTTTTTTTTTAGATGCTTTACCTTCTTTATTCCACTATGTATAACTATTCTGTAGGATCAGAAAATATCTGCTGCAAAGGTGTGCTATGCAGTCTCTTAAGGCTGGTCTCCGTTCCTAAATGTAGAAATATGGTCTGGATTCATGTTAAGAAATGGGAAATTCTTAAGACATGACACGGATGTGAAGAACACTGACTGACCTACTCTATGCTAGGACAGAACAAAATCAGGACCCATTTGGAATCACGTACTGTGGTCTGACATAGATGTCTCTAGCATCATGTCACTTTCATTCATTTCAATTTCAAAGGTTTCTTCCAAAGAAGGTCTGGAATCTGGAGTTTTCCTTGAGGTTTCCAGTGGTGTAAGCCCTGTTTCTTCTATAGTCTGTTTTTCTACTTCAAATTCCCTGAAATCCCACGGAGGTGAAATAATGTTTTTTAGTGTCTTTATTGTATGCACATCAAAGTCATAACATTTTAATTTGTCTTTAATGTCTGCTCCAATATAAGCTTCAGAATCACCAATGTACATTTCAATGCAATGACCAAGCATTGTAACAGAAAATGTATCATCTCGCCTAAGTCCAAGGGCTGTATGGAAATAGTCCACAGCATTTTCAAAGTTGCCCATCAGACTATGGATATACCCTATGGCAGAATAGGTGGATGCATTTTGCGGAATTAACACCAATGCCTGACAGTGATAATCCAGTGCCTCAGCATACTTTTTAAGTTTTCTGCAGACATGCCCCAAGTTGTTCAACAAAGGTTCCCATTTGTCAACAGTTACCTCATTCCCAATTGCTTTAATTTTTTCCAAAGCATCAAGAAACCATTTTTCTGCTGTTTTCCATTCTCCATTTTGAAATGCAACCACGCCAACTTCATGCATAACAAAAGGATCTTCTGGTGCAATGCTTAGAGCCTGGCCAAAGAATCTTTCAGCCAATTTTGAGTTACTGGTTAATCCATATTCTAATCCAATATAGAGCATTGGCAAATGACACCCTTTCATCAGCTGTGCTGCTGTGAAGTAAGCAGCCATTGCTTGATCATGTTCACTCTCAACTGCAAATGAATGTCCATATGCTATCCACGCAGGCCCATAGGTCTTCTCAAGTGTCGTAGCTTTACTGAGATATCTTCTGGCATGTTCATTCTTATGATCAACCATGAAATAATAGCATCCCATTGCAAACCAAGAAACAGGGTTGCTAGGATATAAATCCACCAATTTATGAGAAAGATAGAAAAGTTCATTTGCTTTATTCAGCTCCACAAGTGTCCCTATATGTACAGGTAAACAATTTGCATGGAAAGGATCTTTTTCCATTACTACAGAAGCTTGTAGCACATTTTAAAATCACAGTTATAATAATGTCTTTTAGCTAAATATACTACCACATCCAGATTCTCTTGCAAACCATCTACAGACTCGGGGATGATAGTTTCACTCGGTTCATTATACTTTTTAAATTTGTTCTCAAGTAGAAAACGTAGCAATTCCTGTTCTTCAGTACAGAGCTTATTAAGAGGTAGTGATTCAAGAAGTTCTTTTTCTTCTTGGGCTGTCAACATGTGGTGTGATGTCAAAAGATCAAATGCTTCAAAACAATAGACATCGAGCTTCAAAGCTTCTTTATAGCTATAGGTAGCTAGGGTTCGGTTATCTAGAGCGTCATAGATTTTCCCTCGTAAAAGACAAATAGAACTCTTTATTGAGGACTGTGACATTTCCCAGTCATTGGGGGTGTCTTTCAAGCCACTGTCATCCTTTAAAAACTTCTCAAATAATCGTTTGTTGATAGGCTCCTCCATATCAAGAATATCGAGAGCCTGCTGATGCTCTTTCGCAGCTAATGACATCTAGCTGCAAGGTAGCGGCAAGATTCATACAATTTATCTAGTTTTCGTGACCGAAGTGCATGCGCTGCTCTATGATATTGTGCTGTCAGGTAAGGACACTGAGCCAACCAATAAATGTCCTGGGGTTCCTCATGAGAGAGTGAAGCTACTTTATCGGCCCAAAATAGAGCACTTTGATACTGTTGCTGGTCCAGGTACTGCCGGACGCGCTTCCGCAGCCGCTCCAGGTTCATGGCCGCGCTGCCGCTGCCGGGGTCCGGACGAGCGCCCTCCACCGCGTGCCTTCCTTCCCGCTGCCCGCTGAGCAGACCCGGAGCCCAGCCCCGCGCTGCGATCGCCCTAACCCCGGCTGAACTGACAGGACCCGTGCTGCAGCCACCGAGGTCCTTCTGATTGTATTCTTAAGTTATTAATAGACAGATGAAATTCCATAACCAAATACTAAGGGTAAAACAAAGAGTATTGTCAATAATACTGTGCCCGTCAAAAAGCTGCTGTGTGGAAATATCACCAATACAGAATACATGTAAGAACTGAGAAGTTGGCTTTCAGACTTCATTCCCCAACCACCCAACCAAGGAAGTAGGCCTGAACAGTTAAAACACATGTCAAAGACAATGTATGTACTACAGCTAACATAATTTGCCTAAAGGAAGTTGAGTCTTTAATCAGAAACTATTCTTATTTTATGTATATTTTTATAATCAAAAGAAAGATGCCTTCCTGGTCCATAAGAAATGGGCTACAAAGTAGGAATGTTATTTATTTTTTTACTTTAAAAACTTATTTTCCCATCACCATTTATCCCCTCTATGCCCTCTTCCAGCTCCACCACCCCCGCACAATCACCACACTGTTTGTTGTACATGTCCATGAGTTCTCTTTTTTCTTTTTTGTTCAATCCTATCATCAACCCCCAAACACTCCCTCCCATTGATAGTGACTGCAAGTAACAGACTCCTGACCAAAAAAGCAACAAAAGTTAAAACTTAGGACGAAACTAAAAAATTAGTCTGAAGCCATTTAATAAAGTAGAAAATGGCTCATATATTATAGTTTATTAGTTTCAATTAACTCATATAGAAGATTCTGTCATCAGAAAAATATTAAATATAATTAAAATGGCATATTTAAGAAGGCAATTTTTAAAAATATATAACAAAAACACATGTAAGACATAAGAAAAGGTTGACTTTCTTTATATACAAATAATTGTTAGCAATTAAAAAAAGAATGGGCAAAGGACATAAACAGGCAATTTACAAAAAGAAAGAAATGTAAATGATATATAAATATGCTATTTTCATGTATTAAAGAGCTTTTATTTCTAATTATAATATTAGGTATTGGTAAAGGTACATATAAAGAAAATGTTCATTCTCCAGTGACAGCAATATTAACTAGTACATCTATCCTGGAAAATAATTTAGCAATATGGGTAAAGCTTTAAGAACATTCTGAACTTTTAACAATTTTACTTTTAGTAATTGTATACAAATAATCATCTATCTATATATATATAAAAGCCAAGTGACCGGAACGACCCAGAAAGACCGGTTGCTATGACATACACTGCAGTGGCCACCCTGCCCGATTGGGGCCCTGATCGCCTCCCCAACATCCTGTGTCCCCTCCCCACCACCAGCCCTGTCCCTGATCGGCCCCCATTAGGGCGGGTGGCCGGACCCCACCCGTGCACAAATTCGTGCGCCAGGTCTCTAGTAGATATATAAAAATCTATCTATATATATAAAAGCCAAGTGATCGGAATGACCGAAATGACCAGTTGCTATGACATGCA